CCTGACTGTGTTCGCAGGCTAAAACACAATGCACATGAGAAGGCTCATTCCATAACCATAGAAAAAAAGACCAAGTGGTTTTTCCATAGCATGTGTGTGCCCCAAAAGTCACAAACTATGCCGACCATTAATTATCAATAAACTCAATTACATTAAAAGACTTTTAAGACTTAGTAGTACAGATATATGCAAATGGATTTTGTACTGGCAATGCCTGCACCAATTCTGCTGATGAACCTGACCAACCTGACCAAAATGCTGACAGACCACAAAAGTCCAATCCAGTAGCTGCAAACAACAATCTCCAGAGGCGCAGAGAGGCAGTCTGGAGAGGCAGGCCTGGTGGTATTCAGGACAGCAGAGCAGTGGGAACATTGGAAGGACACGAGGGTCTACAGCTGCTGGATGCCCAACCAGCTGTAATGATCCTTTCCCCTGTTTCCTAGAAATTATTAGGCTGCTGAGATTATTCTCAAGACATCCTGGCCAGGAGCCCATCCTGCCCCAGAACTACTTCTAACTCAAAAAACAAGACAAAAGAGCTGTGCAGTAAAACCACATTAGGATGGTGTAATCCCAGGGCAACAGAGATACAGCAAGAAAAAATATCACTTCCCAAACCAGGTTTGTAAACTAACACACATCCAGGACTGTTGACATTGGGGATATATATGTATATATAATATAAACAAGGAGGAAAAAAATAACAGTGCCAGCAATCTGTCTGCTGTGCCAGCCAGCGAGAATGTTCAGTCTCTCACAGTATAAGTGGCTCAGTGTGAGGCCAAAATAACATGGTACCACCCAAACCTTCACACAGCTTCTCCACCTGATGCTCAAGGGGGAAAGCAGAGGGATGTTTCAACCTTAAATAACTGGCTGCATTTGACTACTTAAGAAATAGAAAATGAGCCGGGCGGTGGTGGCGCATGCCTTTAATCCCAGCACTTGGGAGGCAGAGGCAGGCGGATTTCTGAGTTCGAGGCCAGCCTAGTCTACCAAGTGAGTTCCAGGACAGCCAGGGCTATACAGAGAAACCCTGTCTCAAAAAACCAAAAAAAAAAAAAAAAAGAAAAGAAAAGAAAAAAAACAAAATAGAAAATCAGGCTGGGCATGGTTGCTCATGCCTTTATCCCAGCACTAGGGAGGCAGAGGCAGACCCAATCCCTTGTGAGTTTGAGGCCAGCCTGGTCTACGTTCAGAGCTCAAGAAGAACCAGGACTACAGAGACTCTGTCTCAAAACAAAACAAGAAACAAAAAAAAAGGGGGGGTAGTGGGAGGGGGTAGGAATAAGTATTTACAAAGATCACTGACAAAGAGATCCTTTCAAGGGCAATTTTGACAATACGTCACATTTTCTCAGTCCATGCTAACCACAGAACAAAATGCAAATAAAGACTATTCATTCTGGTCCAAGGGTCCACATCATCAAGCAGCAATATAAACTGGGGGTTTTTACCATATACTTTATGGTGTTTCATAGTGATTAAAAGTGTTCTTGTAGCGACTGTTCTCACTCAGCACATACAGTGAGCAAGCAAAACAGACTGGATAAAGGTCAAGGGCACCTGCCGCTTTGGCAGTGGGCCCAGGTTCAGTTCCCAGCAACCATTCGTAACTCTGGTTCCCTATCTGGCGCCCTCTTCTGGCCTCCATAGGCACTGCATGCCTATGTGTGCACATACAAACTCAACACACAGAAATAAATCCATTCTAACGCAAATTTTTTTAGAGATGGAATAAAATGTCCTTTTAAGATTTATTATGGCTGGGCAGTGGTGGTGCACGCCTTTAATCCCAGCACTTGGGAGGCAGAGGCAGGCGGATTTCTGAGTTTGAGGCCAGCCTGGTCTACAGAGTGAATTCCAGGACAGCCAGGACTACACAGAGAAACCCTGTCTCGAAAAACCAAAAAAAAAAAAAAAGATTTATTACGTATACAGTGTTCTGCCTATACATATGCCTGCAGGCTAGAAGAGGACATCGGATCCCATTACAGATGGTTGTGAGCCACCATGTGGTTGCTGGGAATTGGACTCAGGACCTGTGGAAGAACAGGCAGTGCCCTTAACCTCTGAGCCATCTCTCCAGTGTTGATAAAATATGTTTACAAATGTTAGGTTCAATAGCAGGAATATAAGAGGGTGGTTTGTTTGTATGCGAGCATGCGTGCGTCCATGCATCTGTGTGTGTTTTAAGAGGGGGCCTCATGTAGCCCAGGTTGGCCTCAGATTTGCTCTGTAGCCAATGATGACCTTCCACAGGACTCTCAGCATTTGCTTGGTTTAATGCCATGCTGGAGATAGAACCTAGAAACTCATGTATGCTAGGTAAGCCACATTCCCAGCCAAGAGTAAGAGGTTTTGATCATGACAAATTGGGTTCAAATCTCAGGCATTTCATACAACTTTTGGGGAGCCTTATTAAATCCATAGTACATGCACTTTCACAATTTTTGAAGACAGGTGCAATATCTCTTATGTAAACAGCACTCAATGCTTCTGCCTGTCATTCCTAGGAAATAAGACTCCAAGTTCACACACCTACTTCACTGGAATAGTGCTGAAAGCTGGAGAAGGGCATGTCTCTGTTCTCCTCAAAGAGTTCAAGGATCCTTCAGACACTTAACAATCTTGTAAGTGCCGCCCTCCTGAAGACTCACAAAGTACAAGTTCACAAGCGAGCAGTGGCCCTGAGGAGTCACGCTGGAAAGCTTGTTCAGACAGCAGCTCCCAAGTGTGTCTGTCTCGTGGGATTTCTATTTAATTACCATAAACACCCACAGAACTCATATTCTTCTCAACAGAACTCATTCTTCTAAAACATGCTTTTATTTTGATAAAGTCATGTGTAGTAGCAAAAGAATAAACATCATACAACATACGACAGGATCAAGAAACTTATTTCTATGCATTTACTTTTAAATGCTCTATTTTGTGGTTTTTGAGACAGCGTCTCTGTAGCTCCAGCTGTCCTGGAACTCACTATGTACAACAGGCTGGCCTCAAATTTACAGAGATCCACATGCTTCTGCCTCCTAGTGCTGGGATTAAAGGTGTGTGTCACCATGTTCAGCCCTTAACTTTTTAAAAAGATTTTTTAATTTTTACTTTATGTGCGTAAGTGCTTTGTCTGCACATATGTCTGTATACCACTTGCATGTCTGATGCCTACTGAAACCAAAACAGGGCGTCTGATCCCCTGGAACTTGAGTTACAGACTGTTATAAGCCACCATGTGAGTGCTGGGAATTGAACCCGGTACTCTGGAAAAGCACCCAGTGCTCTTAACTGCTAAGCCAGACTTCCAGGCCCTGTATTTATTGTAGAAATGGGGTCACACTGTGTTGTCCTAGCTGACTTCAAACCTGCAATCCTCTTGCTCCCGCTTCCCAGGCAGTATCATGCTTGACTGCTAAATGCTATCCTTTAAGAGAGATTCCCAGATCATTATTATATTCTGTTATCAATCTGTTTCTAGGACACTAGAGCATTTTTATCACAAGGTTTCGGAGTGAGACTACCCAAGGATTAAGAAGTGACTTAAAGGCATCTGTCTAAGGGAGGGGGGCTTGCTAT